GCCTCAGGGTTCCAGGTACCCCGTCCTGCCTCAGGGGCTGCACAACCTGCTCCTACCTGAGTGAGGAGCTTTGGGGATGGATGCAGATGCCCACTGGGTTTTCCAGCCTTGGAACAAAAAAAAAAATACCTCCCCTGCTTTTTGGGGAAGTGATGGCATCTGGGCAGGAGCCAGCTGGGCTCTGCAGGGATGTGGGTGGCAAGGGACGATTATGAGCCACCTTTTCCAGGGACAGGAGTGGGTGACCCATCCCAATATAACCCATCACTTCAAGCAGCTGGGGAAGTCCTGGGGGACAAGGACTTTAAAAAAGGAAACAGCACACAGAGGGTGTGAATTCAGTGGTTATCTCAGCGTCAGCCCCGGCAAGATAATGGAAAAGTTGATCTGACCAAGACTTAAAAGGGAGAAGAATAAATCAAACAAATCCTTTATGGAAGCAGACCTGACCTGGCAAAAGCTGCTTTGATCACGGTCGTGACTTTGGCTGCCCCAGCTGCAGCAGCCGCCCCGTCCCGCGGGCGCTGCACTCAGATCTTCCTCCCGCGGGGTTATTGATCGGCTGAAACGGGAAGTGCCGCAGCATCAATAAAGCGTCTGCACACGCGGCTGGGAAAGCCGCTCTCGCCCAGGGGCGAGCGGCGTTTCCAGGGGGGGTTGTGCTGCCGAGAGGGTGTCCCGGCGTGCCCAGCAGCTCCCTCTGGCAGCCCCAGCGCTAGCGAGGCTGGTTCTGAGCGCGGAGGGTGATTAAGCACCGACACTGCTGGTAGAGGCAGAGGTTTCCCCAGGAGCTGCTCTGCTTTCTGTTCAGCCATGAGAAGTCGTGGCCAGCAAAGCCTGCACGGGGCAGCCATGGGGCTGCAGCATCCGCCGGGACATCCACATCCCACCCAGAAGTGGGAGATTTGGAGCACTCGCAAATTTTTTGGAAGGGGCAATGAAAGCTCAGCCACCAGCGGGGTCCTAAATGCCTCTGACAGCCCCCAGATTTGCCACCTCCCCCTGTGCAGGAGCGGGATCTGTCCCATCTGTTTTGCAGAGGCCAACACCTCTGCAGCCGAGTCTGGAGCCAGAGCTGGGAGTGCTGGCAAGGAGCCCCCCATGAAACAAGGGAGAAAAGGGAGGAAAAGGGTGCTTTTCAGCCCGGATCATATGCGGGACCAGGGGACCACTCCAGAGCAGAGACTAGTTCCACTCATCACAGCAGTGGGTCTGCCCGTGTCCTGTGCCCTTCTCTGTGCCAAACACAAGAGGGTTGATGAGCTGGAGGGGAGCAAACACCAGTTCCTCCTAAACCCATCAAGAGCCACAGGAACACCTGGTTTTGCCTCTGGAGCCTCCATGGACATCCCCAGCTCTGGTGCCAGATCTGTGCAACCCAGTAGAGCCCCGTCCTGGCAGATGTGGGGATGGGAAGGTGATATTCCTCCGGAGTTTCAGACAAGGCCGGGGGACCTGGAGCTGCTCAGGGGCTGCCAGATCCAGGGGCCCAGCTGGGGCTGGAAATCTCCCATGTTCCAAAATCTCCCATGCTCCAAAATCCCCTGTCTGCAGGGTCCACTCATCCCACAGGGCCAACACCAGGGCCCTGAGGGCAGGGCAGAGGGATGCTGCACGTGCTGGGAATGTCATTCCTGGGCTTCTTTGGCCTGCTGCATCCCAGTATTTTGCCTAGGAGTCTTTAAAAGGGGTTTTTCCCAGACTAATAAACACTGTTTGGGTTTCCTTGTGTTTCATTTTCTTCTTGCAGGGAATATTTCCTGCCCTTAGACGAGCTCCTCGGTGCGTGGGGGTAAGAATAGGGATGAGGGAAAGGATGGATCCGGTCAGGGAAAGGCAAGCCAGGCAGCTGTGCCGGACCAGAACCAGTTCTCATCAGCTTTCCTCTGCTCCCTGAGGAGAGATTAACTGGGAGTTTGGGTGATGGTGGAAGGTGCTCTGCTCTGCCAGACAAACACAAACCCCCTTGTCTGCACCCAACAGCCCTGGGGCATCACCCCGCCCCACTTCCTGCACCTCATGATTATCCCACACATCCACCCCAAGCAAAATGAGGCTGATTTCTAGGAAATGGCTTTGGAGAAGAGCAAATGGAAGATGATGTGTGGTCTCACCATGGATGTGGTCCTCATTCCCATCCAGGCAGGAGCCTGCCTGGATCAGCACCCCATGTCTTCTCCACATCAGGGCTGGAGGGCAGTCCAGAGGGTCTGGAATGCCACAGGGTGCCATCGGCATTCCCAGCCCCATGTGGTGGGATGTGGCTGCACAGCCGGGCTGGCAGGAATGTGTGTCTGCATCTCCCCTCTGCTTCCTCCCATCCGCCAGCTGCCGGCAGCTGGGATGCACCCTGGGACTTGCAGGGGCTGGGGGAAGAAGGGGCTTTTTTGACAGCTGCAGCCAGGCAAAATCCACAAGGGAAGCCCCAAACTGGCCTCTGCCTTTCCCAGCTCAGCACGGCCAAGAACATGAGCTGCTGCTTTGGCACCAAGTGGAGGGAAGTGGAGCCACCTGCCCATCCTCCCCCCCATCCTCGTGGGCCCCAAACACCCCCAAAACCAGCACAGAGACGTTTCTGTGCCTGATGCAACCCAACAGAAGCTGCTTCTCTGTGGGTTTATTTTCTCTATGGCTTTTTTATTTCTTTTTGGAGGAGGCATATTTGAGTGTTGGTCCCCTGGACCAGGATGCAAAGCAATAGGATACAAAATTTCACGGTGCAGGGGGAGGACACAGACAGTTGGGAGTGTGTGGGGCTGCCAGGGACCCTGCTGGATGCTGTGCCTGTCCCTGGTCCCACCCAAGGGGCACAGAGTCTCTCACCCACCCTGTGGTCCCACCATGGGGCACAGAGCCTACCCAGGGAATAAGGGCGCAGAGCCAAACTTTGGGAACAGCCTGTCCATCAGCCCTAATGCTGGAGGCAGGAGCTCAGGAAAAATCCCAAGCCCATTGGATGCCAAAAGCGTGGCCTGGGAGCAGATTTTTCTTTTCCCAGGGTTGAGCTGGGAGGGGATCAGTATCACTTACCCTCTGTGCTTTGGGACATGGCGAGGGACCAGGTCCTCCCCCTGCTCACGCAGCTGCTGGCCCTGGGGGAAGGCAGGCCCCTGCTCCCCCATAAAAGCAGCCGGGCAGCCCCGAGCCCAGCACACGGACCAGTCCCGGCCCCAGCACACAGAGCAGCCCTGCCACAATCCACCATGGCAAAGGCAACCGGCATCATCTGCGCCCTCCTCCTCCTCACCACGCTGTGCTGGCAGAGCCTGGCTCAGAGTGAGCACCACGAGCTGGGGGACGGGGACAGACCCTGGGATTGTGGGGACGGGTTTGCCTCGTGCATGGGGAGCAAGTGGGCTCTTCCCAAAGAGCTGTTGTTCCCACAGCTGGCAGGCTGAGGTGGGAGGTGGGGGTCTCCAGGCTAAGTTGAGCTTGTGCTGTCCCCCCAGGAGCTCCAGCCATGCCAGACAAGTGCTGCTTCAACTTCCAGACGAGAAGGATCAAGAGAGACAACGTCGTTGCCTGTTATCCCACCAGCCCGGAGTGCCCACACCAGGCTGTGATGTGAGTACCCTAAATCCACCCTGGGGGTAAAGCCCCTCTAGATCCTGCCAGACCCCTTGCCTTGCTCTGGTGGGTCCAATCCTGACCTCCTGTGCCTCCTCTAGGAAACTCATCACTGGGGTCCCTGTACGACCACCCCCCTAACCTCTTCTTCTCTCTGCCCCAGTTTCAGAGTGAGGAACGGGAAGGAGATCTGCACCCAGGCAAGCAGGGCGTGGGTGAAGAGATACCAACAGAGCTTCCAAGTCAGCTCCTTCTCCATCCCCAGCTAGTGGGGTGGCCAGAGGCAGCAGGGACTCCTCTCCACGGGGGACACCACCAAGGCAACCCCTCTGCAGAGGTGGCTGTGGGGACACATTGGGACAGAGCAGCTCATCGGGAACGCCCTCCCCACCACGCTGGGATGACCGTCCCTATCTCCCTGAAGGCAAAGAGCCTTTGCCAACCCCGGCATCCCACCAGGATGGAGTGTGCTGACCCTGTGGGACGCTCGGGTCTGGATCCTCTGCTAGTCCCCATGAACTCCATGGCAGAGGGGCTGCTCCTGCCAGCCTGGCAGCAGCCAAGGGGCTCAGGGGGAGCAGCTCCACAGTTATTTTTTGTACAACACACTGAACAGAATTAAACGTGATCTCACACATGCAAACATCTGTCTGTGTGAATGTCTTGGGAGTGGGCAGATCCTGCTGCCGGCTTTCCCAGCCAGGTGCTGGGATCAGTATGGAGCCAGGAAGAGCTGAAGCCACAGCCACGTCTCTGTGAGGATGTCCAGGGTGAGCATGGGGCCAAAACACGTCCATGCTTTGGGGAAGCACCAGGGAGAGCGGCAACAGGAGGGCACAGCCCATGAAGAGGGGGCTTCCCGTGTTCCTCATCCACCATCCTGAGGAGAAAGCCCTGGCCCAAATTCTGTCAGAGGAGCCCCTCAAGGATGCCTGGTCGGGGCCCCACTGACAACCCAAAATCCCAGTATGGGATCCAAGATGTACACTGAGACAGGGACAGGCACCGTGACGGGCAGCCAGCAGTGGGTCTCAGGGTGGGCTGGGGCAAATCCAGCTACCACCGAGCCACTCACCCACTGCAAAATTGCAAGAGAGGCATCAGAACTGATGGTAATGGGTGGGTTTTGAAAAGAAGCTCTCACAGGACTTTGTCAAGTTGAGCACCATCCTGTGTGGTTTGCTGGTGGTGATAACCAGACTCAAAATAGACACCCAGCCCCAGTGCATCACTGGCAGCTCGCCACACTTTCCAGCAGCCCTCGGGTATCTCAGTGGCCAAAGGGGTTGGGAGAAGGAATTTCCCTTCACCACTTGCCCTTTACCAGGTGGTTCTTTCCGTGGGGAGAGTCCAGAGCTGTCATGGAACACCTGGCAGGAGTTATATATTGTGCCAGGGTGCAGGCAGGAGGGGCAGGTAGCTCTCAGTGGCCTGAGACAGGGAGAGCTGCCTTCTGCTGGTGCTGACTGAGCCCTGTGTTGGACATGAAGATCTACTCCTTGGCCCTGCTCACCCTGCTGCTGGCAGCTCCCTGGACTGGAAGCCAGGGCAGGTCCCGTAAGTACTGACACCGAGCCTTTCCCCACGGCTGCCCCAGACCCTCCCCTGATGGGATTTGGGAGGGGGATGAGAGTTCAGCTCCTGCTTCTGCCACAGGACTGGGAGGCTGAGGGGCATCACCAGCTGCCCCAGCACAGGGCTGTCGTGGACTTGTTCAAAATGAGCAAAACCAGGCTTGGGGGTGGCTTCAGTCCCAGAGCCCCAGCTGGGGAGATCTGCCGAGCAAACCCCCCACAGGCAGAGGAATGGGGGGCTCCTTCCCTGGGGACAAACATTACCACTGAGGATGCAAGAAGAGACCCCCTGTAGCACAAGGGAGCAGGAGAGTCCCCAGAGGAGCACCCACACCCCTCAGCAGAGCACCCACACCCCTCATACCAGGCGTGGGAGAGCACTAAAACCTCTTGTCTCCTCTTAGTCCGCGGATCTCATGCCATATGCTGCCACAAGAACATGTTCATCCGGCGGGAAATCCATGCATCCAAAATCAAGAGCTACCGGAACACACCTTCCCTCTGCTCCCGCAAGGCTGTGATGTGAGTAACCCCAGTTCCCACCCAGCCTTCCTCCCTGGCATCCCACTCCTCACCCTCGCTCACCCACCTTTCCTACCAGTTGTTCTGCCCTTGGGAAGCCCCCAAAAACAAGCCACCCTGCAAAGGGTTCTGTGGGTGATGGTGCCCTAACCTGGCTCTTCACATTCCCCTCCCTCCTCGCTGCTTAATCCCAAATAGCCCCAAAATCCCCCTATTTCAGCTGCCAGCCAGAAAAACAGGAAGGAAGCCAAAATTGCAGAGATTACCAAAAGTCAGCACTTCCAGGGAAAGCAGGGGGCAGGATGCTGCAGGCACCTCCAGGCTGGCAGGGATCCATCCCACAATCCCGAGCTAATGCAGGATACTCTTTCCCCCAAAGTTTGGAGCTGCAGAAGGGGCCAGTCTGTGTGGATCCAAAGCTGAGCTGGTTCCAGAAGTACCTGAAGGAAAAGAAGTCGATCAACACCTCCATGTGAAGCTGCCTTCCCCACAAGCTCTATTTATTTGTTTTCCATAATTATCTGTATGTTCTTGTGTCATTAATTTATGGAGCTGGCTCCGTCCCCTGCCCTGCCATCGCCCCCTCCATTGTCCAGTACATCCCTCAATGGAATCAATAAACCATCTTGTGCTGACCTGGAGTGAGATACGTGAATCCTGTGGGAGAAAATGGGTCATATCAGGGCTCAGCATTCCCACAGAGAACCAAGAATAGTCCAGGAGCCCTTGGGAGGGCAGGGAAACCCAAAGGGCCAAGGCTGATGCCCCCAGCTCACCTCCAAGATGAAGCAGCCCCTGGCCAGACGTGGCCTTTAAGGATGCCCTGGGCAGCTGCCTGCCTGGTGGGATGGGGATTGAGGCAGGGAAAAGGCAGGTGAGGTTGGCAATGGGAGAAGGGTTGGCTTTGGGGGGTTCAGGGGCTGGTTTGGTTTTGTCCCAGCTGGATCAAGTGGTTAAACAAAGGTGGCTGCAGAAGGAGAGAGAGGGGCCGTGAGGTTTAGCACTGTCCTCCAGACCTGGGCAGGCCCCTGGAGAGTGCCATCCATGGGAGTGATCCTCCAGGTCCCTGGAAATCCCCTTGTCTCATAGCAAAATCCCTCCTGCAGCCCCCAGAACCCGGGGGTGGCAACGGGGGTGGCAAACAACGGAAATCGAACCATATCAGGCCTGTCACTCGTGTCAGTAAATTCCTTAAAGAGAAGAAGAAATTGAACATGCAGATGCTTTTGGGTAGGTTTCCAGCAAGTGCAGGGAGGCTGGAGCATCCTTCATCCACCTGGTTCCCATCAGGACACCAGCCATGGAGCTTTAACTCTGTGTCCCTGCTGTGACCAGAGGAACAGGGTGAGAAGGGTATTTGTGTCACACCTGGCGAGAAGTTGGGAAGGGATGGTGACTCCACCACTGCCCTGGGCAGCCTGTGCCAGCGCTGACAACCTTTCCAGTGAAGAGTTTTCCCCTAATATCCAATCTAAACCTCCACTGGTGCAACTTGAGGCTGTTTCCTCTTGTCCTGTCACTTGTTACCTGGGAGAAGAGTCCGAACCCCACTTGGCTACAGCTCCTGTCAGGGATTTGAAGAGAGAGAGAGAGAAGGTCCCCCTGAGCCTCCTTTTCCTCAGGCTGAGCCCCCCCCCAGCTCCCTCAGCCACTCCTGGTGCTCCAACCCCTTCCCCAGCTCCGTTGCCCAAGGTCTGATCCCTGGGGAACACCACTGGTGACCATCCCCAGCTGGATGTCACTCCATTCCCACCACTCTCTGGGCCCAGCCGTCAGCCAGTTTGTCACCCAGTGAACAGGGCACCCATCCAAGCCATGAGCAGCCAGTTTCTCCAGAAGAATGCTGTATTATCTACTTCCCTATTAGTTTGTGACTCACTTGAATCATCTTTTTGATGAGCTGGGACATGCTTTACTTTTAAAGATACCTTTATACATATTGCCAGATTTGTTGCCACATATCTGCCCCCCTTTAGGGTGTTTCTGTACAAGCCACTGACCTTGGGCCCAGTCATCTGCCACAATCCCCATGGGACCATATCATCTGGAATTGTTCCTTCTAATTGAAAAGAATATTCTTGCCCGTGACTGGATAACTGCACATGCTCAGCCAAAGCATTTTTGCAGGCATTCTTTAGAAAATGAGACTTGACATCTCCAGCTTTTCTAGAGCTGCTCTTTGGTGCTGCAAGTCCAAGAATTAAGCAGAATGCTGCTCCCCTTGGGATTTTCTGGAATGCCAGCCCCCACGGGAGCGCTGCAGCCTCCTGCAGGGGGAGAGGTTGTTCCTGCTCTTACCACTCTCCTTCCTGCACCAGTCTGGTGCAGAAGTCACTTAAGCTGGAGGGAGAAGAGCTGTCTTTGATTTAGGACCACAGAAAACTCCCTGCCCTGAGTTGTGGTAGTGGTTCTTTGTGCAGGGCATAGCACAGGATCCTCGGAGGGGGAAGGGACATTTGGGAATTGGACTTTAAAATGTATCAGTGGGGACTGGTCTAGGATTTCTGCTTTGAATGCTGAGTTACTCTCATAAAACAATGCACTCCAGGGTCAGTGACAGCTCCCTGCAGCGTGAGGCTGGCAGCTGACCTGGGTTCTCCTCATAACCACAAGCCACGGGACCCCTTTGCATAATTTTTATCAATGAGTGTCACTTCCCAGATGGATGTTGCATAATGCCATGTGGCTTTCTCTTGAATGGGATGGTGGTAATGGCAGTTTCTTTCATTTCTTTCTGCCTGTGGTTTCCTCCTGCCTCAGGCTGGTGCACAGGGCAGGCAGAGGCTGCTGTCACCCCATTAGTGCTGCCAAGTGCAGGGCCCCGGGTGTCTGGAAGCCTCTCCTGAAGGAGGTGCTGAGAACATCCCTCTGCTCTGACTCAGGGTCAGAAATGCAGCCTGCTGCCAGCAGCAGGGCTTTGTCCTCAGGGAAAACTCTCTGCAGAGCTGGAGAGGCTTCCCTAAGGTTGGCTGCAGGCTGAGGCAGAGTCTGAGCTTCCCTCAGCAGGCCTGGGGACCAGAGGCAATGCTGTGCTCTTACGCTCCAGGATGGAGATCATCGCTTGTCTTCTAGTCTGGATGAACCCCGGGGTTCATCAACAACAGCCCCAGAGGGTGATGTGGTTTTGAGACTTGAATTCCCTTGTTTTCTTTGGGAGACTCATGCAAGGCAGTGCCAAAAGCATCAGGTCATGCAAGACTAGTGCCATGTTTGCTCATCTCTGGCTTTCTGGTACCTCTCCCACTCCATGTGAGTTTTTCCTGCTAATGAGATGGCCACAGCCAGGTTCAGGAGGAAGTTAGGGACATCTTTGGGGCCTTTTTGTTTGATCACACCTGCCTTACCCACCTCTTCCTTACTTATTTGTTCTCTTTTCCCTTTTCTCACCTCGGTGCACTAAATTTTTACTGTGTTGAATACTTGACCATAACCTCTTGTCTTGTTTATGCAAAGAAAAGCCAAAAAGAAGTGGCATCTTTGGTATTTACTCCTCTTCCTAACTAATAGGCTTTTCCTTTCCTTTATTTTTCAAATTTATATTTGCAAAGCTGAAGTTTCTGGTTTCCTGTGTTTCCTGCCCTGATTCCAAGGGTCTTCCGTGACAGGAGAAATAAAACTGCAAGTCATTTCTTCACTCTCCCTTTACACCAGTTCCTTATATTTAATTCCTTAAACACAAACTATCTACTTTTATTGAGCCGCAGTTCTGTGCAATTCGTTGAAATGTCCTCAATTCCAGTTATAATGGAAAGTATTTCATCAGCATCCAGTAAGAAGTCCCATCCGGCCCTCATCTAAATGGAGAACTGAAAGCTTGGCCAGTCACTTCTGCATCAAAGAGGAAATATTTCTGCCTTTTCCATCAGAAATAATCTTCGTGACTGTGAGATTTCCTGCGGTTCCTGCCGGATGTCAAATCTTCCTCTGGTAACTGCTGAAGCCAGTGCCCACAGATCATTCTGTTTATCATTGCCCTGATTTCAGCTTCTATCCCCCCTGGGTGGGGGATATCCCTTACCACCCTCCTGGTACTTGTGGGTTCCCAGTGCTACTCTCCTGCCCATCTCACCCTTTTTCACTCGACTTGGGCAAGCAAAGGGGCTCCCACCAAGCCAGTCTGGTCCACTGCCATTGCTCATCCCTGGCTGTTGGCCCCTGCCCAAGCCCAGCTCACCCCTGGCTCGGGGCTGCCTCCCCAGAAGAAACCCACCCTGTGTTGAGGTAGCTCAGCATCTTGTTCCTGTGGCTGACCCAGACAGCAGTTTCTGGTTTCCTTCATCATAAAAGCCTGTTGCACAGTGTTGTCCTCCCTCCCACTTCTCCTCCATGCACCAAGCAGAGCTGGCTCTGGTGAGGGCAGGAGAGGTGCCAGGATGGGCTGGCTGCAGGGCAGAGTCTGGAGCAGGTCTCTGTGGGACACGTGAGGGTTTACAGGCAGAGAGGTTCATGAAAACACAAAAAGCTTCTGTTGGCTGGCCCTGGACTTGGGATTCCTCTGCACACAGTGGATGCTTTGAGCTTAGGAGAAACCACTCAGTGCCTCTGCAATGGCCTCAACAGAAAAGACTCATGCAGGTCTCCACTTCTCTGAGGAACTGAGTCCCTTCCTTCTGCCTTTGTGCATCCGGGGACATGGGACAAACAGGAGTTTTTACGGCAGGTACTACCTCTCCTCCAAGCCCTTCTCAAATGCCACAGATGAAAACCTTGGTCACTGTTAAATACAAAGGATTTATTCCTCTATAGCCACACAGAGAGCTGCTGAAACAGAAACGGCTGAAACCTGGGCACTTGGAGAAGGGAGCTGGAACAGCTGGAACAGCTGGATTGGTTCTTCCACTAGAGGCCAGATCAGCACTGCCCAGCTCCTCCTGACCCACTCCAGGGAATGATTTACATCCGTTCCCACCTCTGTCCCACCTGGGAGCGAAGCAGCCCCTGTTGGCTGGGGAAGGTTTGCTGGGCAAAAGGCCGTGGCAGGTGCTGGGAATGGGAGGACAAGCACTGGCATTGCTCAGCATTTCTGTGAGTGGGACTTTTCCCCTGAATCAGGGCGGCAGGAATTAGTCATGCCCGAGCCAGGGCCAGCAGGAAGGCCAGGGGAAGCCAGGGGTTTGTGTGGTAGCTGGGAGACAAGTAAACAACCCTTTCATGGCACCACGGGGCAGCATCAGGGAAAGGATGGAAAAGGAAAAAAAAAAAATGGAAGAAGGAGCGAGTTTGGCAGCTCCCTCTTTCTGGTGTGCCACAGAGGGGGATGTTTGGGAATTACCCTCTGGCATTGCAAATGCTGCCCCTTTTCGGTCCCCTCACGTGTCCTCACATGGGGGTGTTTGCTTTTCGGGACTCAGTCACAAGAGAGACCTTAAATTGGATGAAGTTATCCTGTTTGGGTAGAAGTGGACAGGCAGTAATTGCAACAGCTTGGCCATTAAGAGGCTGCAGCCAAAACTAAAATTCTTTGAGAGGTGTAAATCCTGTGTTCAGTCCAGGGACACGGAGGGTGGCTGAGCCCACTGCTCCAGCCCCAGAGCAGGGCAACAGAGCCCAGTGCCTGCACATGCAGGGACTCCATGGGTCTGCAAACTTTCCCATATGGGAACACTGCTTTTGACCTTAATACCAGCAAAAAGGGACAAATGTGAGACCCACAGTGACTAACACAACCTTGTTCCTACATGATCCTTCCTTCCCTAAATGTCCAAGCAAGACCTAGAGCTGTCAGTGGAGATGAACATGTGCGATGCATCGTGACAGAGAGAACTCTGGATCCCTGTGGTGCAGCAGGGAGAGAACTGGTATTTGTGGCAAACCTGGGCAGAAGTTGGGATCTGCCTCCTGGCAGTGGATTTCTGCCAGCAATAGCGGCAGTGGCTGGGGGTGTCCATGCCAGGGCCCCTGAGCTGGCCTGGGGTCTCCATCCAGGAACTCTCTCCACAGCTCCTGACACAGCGATGCTGCTGGGGCTGCTGCAGAGCACATCCCTGCCCAGGGTCTGTTTGCTGTTGGTCCTTCACAGCTGCCTGCTTGGGATTGACATCAGAGCTCTGGCTCTGGGATTGACATCAGAGCTCTGGCTGTGCAGCTTCACAAGCCCAAGTTGCCTCATGGCCTGTGCAGCCCTTGCAGCAGTGGCAGAGTCACTGTCGGCATTTGGGCTCCAACCAGTCCCCACCAGGCACCCAAGGAGCATCTTGAAAGTTGCAGCCTCGTGGCCAGCAGTCCCTTCCCCTTCTGCGGTTTCCTTTCCTTTTCCAGCTCAGCAAAACTGGCTGATCCTGACATAATTTCCCCGGTATGATGCACTCACTTTCTTTCCTTGAAACCCTGCGCCCGCCCAGCGCAGGGGGATAAAAGGAGAGCATGGCCACAGCGGTGGAGCATCGTGCAGAGAGAGCCCTGCAGCCTCCCCAGCTCCAGCCCTGCTCACAGAGCCCTTGGCCCCACAGCACCATGAAGGTCCTGGCAGCCTCTCTGCTCGCCCTGCTCCTCATGGCCTCCTGCTCCCCTTCCGAGGCCCATCTCGGTGAGTCACTGTGTCCTCCTCGGGCTGGGGGGACGTCGCTCCACGGGAGCTGCTGGAGAGCCCCATCCCCATCAGCGGGACCCTCTGGGGCTGTGGGCAGGGTTGGGGGCGGTAGACTTGTGTCCCAGTGTGGGATGGAGGGTTGGGGGCAGGAGATTTGTGTCCCGGTGTGGGATGGAGGGTTGGGGGCAGGGTTCTCCTGGGGAGCCACTGCCAGAGAATAGGACACAACAGGAGGGTGGGAGATGGCAAATCCTTGGGGAACATCATGTGCCAGTGGGACCAGAGCCTGTGCTGTAGCTGGAGTCTCACCAGGGCTGTCTGTCTGTCCCTCTGCCCTCACAGACGGCGTCCCTCCCACCTGCTGCTTCACCTACCAACAACGTCCCATCCCTCTTCGCCTCATTGACTCCGCCTTCATCACCAGCAGCACATGCACCAACCCGGGGGTGATGTGAGTACCCACCACTGCCAGGGGCTCGGGGTGGCCGGGAGGGACTTGGGGACGTGGCTGGGGACACTCAGGGTGCTGCTGGTGGGACCCAACGCAGGCACCTCGTGCCCTCTGTGCAGCACCTCAACACGGGATTTTTCTCCTGGCAGAATGGTCACCAAGAAGGGGAGGCAGCTGTGTGTGGATCCCCAGGAACCCTGGGTGCAGGAGCGCCTGAAGCACTTCCAGACCCCAAAGAACTGACCTGATCCTTCCTCACTGCCACTCGTGATGCCCACAGTCCCACCCCTGCGTGGCCTCCAGCCTCAGGCACACAAGAGAGCCCCTGACCTGCAGCCTCCTTCAAGGGGGAAAATTGTTTTATTTAACTTATTTAAGTTAAGCTAAATAATGTTTTTCTAAAAAAAACGAAGAAAAAAGAAGGCACAAAAATAATTTATATTATGTCAAAATAATACACTAAAATAAAGATAATTTCAATTATATCAGTGTGTCTGTTAATGAAGAGTCAGTTTTGATGCCTCCCTGCCGGAGCCCCGATGTGGGAGAAGGGACCCACAGGGACCCCCCTGCAGATTGATGAGGCAAAGAGTCTGGTCCTGCTGCTCCAGCTGGTGCTTCCAGCAGAAGGACCTGTGGGATGGAGGTGACAATTCATCCAGGGCCCTGAGCGGTGCTGTCGTGGTCTAAGCCCAACTGGCCACTGGGCTCAGCCACTCATCCACTTCCCCTTACCCCAGTGGGATGGGGAGGAGAATCAAGAGCTCATCAGGAGCACCCTGATGAGCAAGAGTAACACTTGTGAGTTAAGAATGGCTTAATAATTGAAACAAAGTAAAATACAATAATATAGTAATTTAAAAGTGAGAAAACGCAAGAACGAGTGATGCACAATCCAGCTCCTCAGCAGGTGCTGACTGATGCCAAACCTCATCCCCAAATCCCAACTGGCCCTTCTGGGCATGATGTTTTATGGGGTGGAGTATCCCTTTGGCCAGCTCAGGTCAGCTGTCCCAACTATGCTCCCTCATAGCTCTTTGTGCAGCTCCTCAAGTCCTTGGCCAGGGTAAACACTACTTAAGAACAACTAAGACATCAGTGTGCTATCGACATTATTCTCACACTGAATCCATCATCAAATGTCCTCCAAAAAATCAAAAATCCATAAAAGAATCAACATAGCTGATACTATCTTTGTTTTAATTTATTATCTTGACATACTTTAAATATCCTGACACACAGCAACATTAACCTAATAGCTTCCTTTTATAAGCTCAGAGATATTTGTGATGAAGGAAATTCAGTGGATCTCTTTTGTCTGAGCTTCAGGAAGGCACTTGAAATGATGCCACATAGTAAATTATTAGATAAGGCAGAGAAGATGTGACTGGCATTTGAAAAGTAAATTCGGTGAAGAGCTGCCTGAAAGGAGCAGGATAATTGCTTCAGCTGAAAGGGGGGTTACCCATACAGTTCCTCGAGTTTCTGCCTCAAAAATTACTCTGCTTAACATTTGCCTTAATGATCTTGGCACAAAAAGCAGGAGAAGGCAAAGGAAATGTGCTGATGAGGCAAAACAAGATGGCATCATCAATCTAGAACAGGCCAGGATATCACAGAGAAAGATTATAATGACCTTGAGGGCTGGAGTAACAGAGAAGGGATTCGAGTCAGCAGAGCAGACTGTGTGAGCGTGCTGTTGGGAACAAGGGAGAGCAGCAATGGCCATTCCAGTTTGGGAGCCTGTCAGCTGGAAACGTCTGGGGCAGGGAAGGACCCACGATACACATCACAGGACTGTGCCATGACCCTGGTGTTAAACTGCATGAGAAAAGTCAAATGTAAAGAGCTTGGGTTGAGGGGTTGGGAAAACAAGGGACTGATCCATGTGAAGGCACCAGAGTCAGCCCCCGGAGTGGGGACACACAGCCACAAACTGGCTGGGAATACCAACAGAGGGGAAATTAGGTTTCCACATGAAAGAATTTTGTCATGCAGGTTTCTGACCCCAGCAGGGCAGACAAAAACCAACCACGCTCACGTGGATATCAGTCCTGCTGTGCAACCAGCACGATCCAGAATCCATCCAGACTGGAGGTGGGATCTTCCTTCTCAGCGTGAATTGTCTTTACAAGAGCCTATTCACAGAGGTGGTTTAGAGTCCTGTTTCAAAAGGTGCCACTAACAGCAATGTTGTTTTGGAATCCAGTGTTCTACAGGGCTGCACAACCCCCGTGAGCCCGGGCGGGTGGCAGCTGCCTACTCCTATTCCCAGGACAAGCACCAGATTCACTTGTTCCCCTCCAGGACTGCAGATGGTTTCAGTGGTTGTGGCTTTTTGATATGTGATTAACTGCTTCCCTCTGAAACTGCTCTGGCCTGCTCAGCTCCACCATTCAGTCTGGAATCACAGAATAATAGCACTTCTTCCAAATCTCCTCCAGAATCTCCTTTTTTGGACACTCCCATCTCTAATGGCCCACCTTTCTCTGCCCTGAAGGAGCAAGGCTGAGGCAGAGTCTCAGGTAGTGCAGACACTCCAGTCTCCTAAACTGACCTCTTGCTGCTCCAGCTCCCCAGGAATCAATTTAGTTTTACAACAAACTAAATGTTTACAACTAACATTTTACTCTTCACATTCACTGCATGTACCCATCCCAGCATTCCAGCCTTGCTGCCATATCCCCAGGAACATGTCAAGCCTAAGCACAACAAATGTCCTTTGGGATCATCAGGGGTTTCTATTTCTCTGCTTTCAGTTTCCTTCAGATACTTCTCTCTGATCATCTCCTGCAAGTCCTTCAGAGCTTCCTGGGCTGCCTCACTGCTGAATTGAAAGATTTGTATAAACACTATTTTAAATTTTCAGGCTTTTTCTATTGACTTCCTCTTTCTCTGGAATTTCCCTTTCGAATTTACTGGTACAAGATTAATTCTGGGGTCAGCTTGTACCCCTTTCCTTTTTGATCACAGGACGTAGGACTGACTCACACTTGTAGGGAGGATTACTTAATGGTCCCTCTCTTCTATCCCCCCTGGCCTGTGAACCCCAACACCCACAGCATCCCCCACTTCCACAGCCCAGCCACAAAGCTGGCTCTTTGGACACTCTCTCCCACTTTTCAGCTGAAGAGGACTTATTTTTCCTTCTGTGAATTCCCCAGTGAGAGCACTCTGGATTATGGCCCCGGCAGGTAACACACTGTCACACCCCTGCTTTGCTTTTAGGACCAGGCCTGGAGGTAATGGCCACCATTAGCCCTTTCCCATCCTTTTAAGAGCCAGTTCCTTCCTGCAGACTCCATGTCTGAACCCTGCTGGGTGTAATTCAGCGTGACAAAGCCTTCTCCTCCCAGGAGAAGTATCACTCGTCATTCAAAGTGCTCTTTGGTGTGAAATCTGCTTTCTACCCTGGGCTAAATGCCTCAGTGCAGTCCCAGGGTGGGCTCCCCTCTGTGCCCAGAGCCCCTTCAAAAAGCTGACCCTGCTACTCCTGAAAATGCCTTGCAGAAAGATGGGAGAAGAGTCCAGAGAGTGCAGATAACCAGAAATAACAAAACAGCTTAGCTGAGTCTTGCACTTGGGCCTGTCTTTTGCCCATAGAGCTGTGTGAAAAAAAACAGTTTGACCTGTGATTTTTGCCACCAAGGACTCAGCACAGCTGTCCCCGTGCCAGGCCTGCATCCCCACCACAGTCCCCAACACCAAGAGCAGCAGGTTGGGAGCACATGTGACAATGGTAAATTCAGGGTGCCAGCCTAGAGCTCCTGAGGCTGGAGCACAAGTGCCAGGGATGCTCTGGGAAGGACACAGGCAGTTGGCAGCTGCCTCCAGCAAAAGAGAACAAATATCTGGAGCACAAGAGCCAACAGACCTTGCTGGCTCAGAGGGCACGAGGTTGGAGAGAAGCAAAGGAGCAACACAGAGACAGGGATGACAGCCTGTCTGCAGGGAGAAAGAGGAAGGAGTTTGCTTGGTGTGCAATTCTGCAACAGCAGTCTGTGAAGGCAAAATGTGAACTCATCCTGCTGCTGGTAGATGGACTCCTTAACAGCAGCAGCACAGGGAGGAAAAGGTCAGGATGACTCAGGGATGATCCATATGGGCAGTGGTGTCCACTTTCCAGAGCCAAGTCAACCCTGGATCACCCGGGTGAGTGGAATATGAACTGGTTGGTCTGTAAGAGACAGGTCCCAGGAGAGGATGTGCTGTCTCCAAGGACTGAACAGCATTTGCTCACTGCCACGGCTCAGCTCGGGAGCACCCTGATGAGCAAGAGCAACAGTTCCCATGTCAGGTTTCTATGAGAGAAGGGAGAGTCCCATGGGGTAAGAGCAAGTGGTTTTTCAGAGAAAACACAGAAAACAGGGCTGGGGAGAGTCATCAACTTCCACACAGAAGATCAACACTCACCACTCACTCTAGGAACAGAATTCCTCGCTCTCCAGGTGATCTCCCAGCACTTTCTCACTGCTGCAGCATGTTTCTTCCTTTTTTTTTTTTTTTGCTGTAGTTTGAGACCAGAACATCATGTCCTTTCCAGCATGAAAACAAAGGCTGAAATTGTTCAGTGACCCTTGTTAGACTGTTCTCAGGCCTCTCTCACCCTCTTTGCACTACACACCACAATTCTTCCACGCTCTGCAAATTTAACAGGCCAATACTTGTTACAAATAGCATTAATAAAAATATCACATAGCACAGGAGCCGTGGGGTCCCACATGCTCCTGGCAGTCATGGACGGAATCCACTCAGAAGGCCATTTCCACAGTCTGACAATGACAATGAGGAGTCAGAACCATTAGAGGATTTTTTTTGTAATTTGGGGACCTAGCTCATACCCACGGGACTAAGCTGTGCATGCAATAATCACTTCTCGGAATATAGTGCTTGCAATTTTTGAATCCCCGTCAAGAATGATGTCAAGTTAAACTCCAGGAACAGAACAGGAGCAAGTTCATGGCAGTGTGGGAACATAGGAATTGGCAGAGATTCCCAAGGAGCAATGCAGGGTTTCCCAGCCAGGTCTTTCTGAGCACGTCTGAGCTGTGCACAGAGCAGCATCACAGCACCCTCTGCTGCCTGCTGGTCCTCAGGTCCTCACCAGGCAGCTGAGTTGGGCTTTGAGCTGACAGCACCATCAGATAAACACCTCATTCTTCAGGGTGACAAATCTTGTAATTACTGATCAGAACTGTGTGCTCTTCCCTGCCTTGGGGGAAAACAGGGCTCAGGCTTCTCACACTTCCATCAGCTGAAGGAGAATCTCACATCCAGTGGTCAATACTGCAAGTGGATGTGAGCATCAGAAGCACCAACTTACAAGGTTTAATTGCTGCAAATATTTATTCAGGCTTTAAACTCACACCCCAGTGTCACTTCTCTTTGCAGTGCATCTGACTCCAGCTGTGGTTGTGCAAGCATTTCTCCTGCATATCCCAGCTCCTCTTGCCCCATCTAAATCATTCCAACATCCATTAAGTGTGCAGGAACACGGTGCTGCACATGAGCAATGCACAACAAGAACACATGTGAGCCAGCTGGCAGCAGGGTGGCCTTGTCCTTTTCTTCACTGTGAAATACAGCACCAAGTCCAAAGAAATAAATCAATGGTGCACATGGAGCAGTTCTCTCCCTCCGTGCCCTATGCCATGATGCAGCTCAGATACAAGAGCAAAAGGAAGCCCAGGCACGTGTGAAGGATGAGGGCACAAGCTCAGTTATCTGTGGCAAGACACATGCAAAAAAAAAAGAGGGAACAGGAAAAGAAGAACCAGGGAAATCCCAGAACTCCTCCCCACCCTCAAATCTGAGAATGCCATGCTCAGAGTTGCTTTGTGCTGTTTCCCTCTAGGACCATCTCCTATCAGATATAGGACATGGTTCACTGTCCCAAATCCCGGCCAGTGCTCTCTCCCTAACCCTGGGACCTTGGCAGCATCTGCCTCATCCTTCTGGCATCTCGAACAGCTTCTCCCTCTCACACACCAGGCTGCTGCACATAGCTCAGCAACCACGTAACAGCCAATAGTCTGCAAACATCATGTGCCAGATAGAACTGTGAGAGAATTAGCACACCCCAACCCACCCGCCCAAGGCAGCAATTGCTCCCAGGGCTGGGAACATACTCAGGATCACTTATGTCCCTCTACACGTGTGGCTGCCACGACTGGTACAAGCCTGACACAGGGCTGGCTGCAGTTCCCATCCCCCACTGTGCTCAGCCTGGTGCAGATCTGTGCAGAGGAGATGTGTGTTTGTTCTTCAAACCTGCCTTGTTAACGTTGTAGGAATATTGACACAACATTCCCCTCGAAGCTGTTACTAGCAAGTGGAAATTGAAGCTTTTTATTGAACGTTTTTTTTTTTTTACTCAGCTTTTAGAGCAAGATATTTAGCAACATTAACATTCATTTTTACATCACATGTCACATGCTACTACTTTAGCTGCAGCTGCATATTGTCTGCTTCCCCACAAGCCCTCAGAGTGAAGATTTATGGTGGAACAGACACTTAAACACACACAAACCTGGAAAATGCAAGTGGGTTTTACCAATGAGGCAATTTGCTGCATGCGTTTCTCCATCAGAAACAAGTCCGACTTCAGCAGACACCAACAGCATCTTTTGTCTTTATCTAATTTGGGAGTTTCTGTGTTACACAGAACTGGGAAGCCAGTTAATGTATGCAAAGTTTGCTCAAGCAGCAAAAGCAACAGCAAGTGCTTCATCTAGTCAGAGACTGTAAGAGCAGAAGCTTTTCATTCCAAACAAAGGATTCCCCCAGGAATGAGACATATTTGAAGATGTCCACTTCTACATCTGGAATTAAAAGCTGAGATTTCTCACAGAGAAATGCAAATCAATTAAGTGATCCAAGAAATGTTTGGGGAGGAAAAGGAAAATATTTGGCAGGCAAACACTAAAATGTTGAGCATCTCTGTGGGAGTCGTGCCCCATGGACCAGACCAAAAACATAATTAGGCTATTGTGTAGGTAAACACCGAGCTTGTGTACAATTTTCTCATCCCAAACACCTCCTGGGCACTTGCTGCCTCACATGCTTCCTCCAGCAGTACAGCACCCCACTGGTAAGTCAGTGTGTGAAAACACCTGGGGGAGGAAGGTTTAGCAAAGTGTAAAGTGTCTCTTCAAAAGTGCATAAGTAGTAAACAACACTCCTCTGGGTTTGCATGTTTACCATTGTACCCAGAGACACTGGTCACATTTTACAGGGGCAGTTCTAGTGCTCCCAGCTGATGTCTCTGCCTGGAGGCTGAACAGCACCTCTCTGACCACAGTGCCATGTCCTTTACAGGCAGAGCTACCCAGGTGTCCTCATATAGGTCCATTCTACAGCAGCCAAAAAGAAGGCCACCAGTCCTACCAGTCTGGCAAGGAAACGAGATGCTTCAAATGTAGATGACATCTGAATCATGCTGCTGAACCTGCAGGCAAATCAAAGAGGTAAAATTAGTTCCACCTTAAAGTAACTCCCTTTGGTCTGGGTCTTCCTTTACCTTCAACTCTGGGGCATTTTCCAGGATGCCCTGCAATATTTTTTTCTTCCTTCTTTAAACCAGAGTATTTGCCTCACCCCTGCCACCTGGATGAGGTTGGTCTTAAAAGTCACTTCTGTTATTTGCCTCAGAAAGAGCTGATCCCTCATCTGTTGCTACACTCAACTGTGTTCCTTCTAATCACACAACTCTGAATATTGAAGTATTGAATGTTCTATACTAGAGCTTCTAACTGATCCTAAACCCCCTCAGTTTTGTTCATATAAACCAGCAGCAAATACATCAAGCTTTCTTCATTCCCAATACCTTGCACAAATAGCATTCCCTACAGAAAGCTGATTTCTTTCCCAGTGTTCAAGACCACACGCCCTTCTTGATTCTCCAGTCCAGTGATATCTAAAAGCAGGTTGTTTTTTCATAAAACCCAGCTTATAGCTGTTCAGGACTCTTTGACAGGAAACACATGGAAGAGAACTGTCTGGGTATTTATTGGTATCTTCCTCCCTGCCTTTTAAAACCAGAAGACAGCCTGTTTTAAGCTCTCTGTACCTGGGGGCACATTTCTCATTTCCAAGCCTGGCTGACACAAATTAAATTTAACACAGATCCTCCTACTGTGTATGGGCATCTCTGCTTCATTTACCAAGGCTTACAGCTTTGCATTCCAGCTTAGATCATAAGGGAGAGAAAACAGGTGGCCTCAAACACTCCCAAATGATGTGCCAGCACAGGGTCTCCAAAATCATGCAACAGCCTTGCACTGACTTGTCATCTGAGAGGCTGTGACAGAGCTGGACAAACCAGGTCCCTACAACCAGCCATTCTCTCTGAACTCTAAACTTTTAGTCAACGTTTGGGAATTTGCTTACAAATCTGATTACCTTTATAATCTGTTTTCTGGTTTCTGTGCCCACACTGTTTGCAACCAATGAATTTGCTTGAGAAGATGACTTTTCCATTGGCACTGTGTGCTGAATTTTGTTGGTACAAGGCCAGCTGCTTGCAGCGTTTAACAAGTAAGCGGGGAAAGGTCTTTGAAGATTTATATCCAATGAATCTCCAGCTTCAAATGTTTTCATCCATGATGGGGCCTTTAAAAGAAAAGAGCACATGGAAATTTAATGCCCTCTCTATATCAACACTCATTAAGCCAAAAAGAGCATCAGATGAATAGTCAGGAAATAAAGGCCATCTTTCCTCATAATTTTTCCAAGCCTCCCATCTCTCTCTAAAACTGTTGACTCAGAGCCATTTTTGCTACATGTGGAACAACCTGCAGACACAGCCAACCCTATTCTTACACTGCTTCAGGAAGAAGTGTTTATATAAATAACAAGCAACTTATGACAAAAACCTGAGTCTAGTTCCTCATTCCTTAAAAAAAAAAAATACGCACCAAGACTTTATGACTTTAGCAACCACAAAGCACATGAATGAGAATGTGATGCAAACTATAGGGAACCACATTTAAATGTGTTAGTTACAACAATTTAGTTTGCTGCAAGACCTTAAACCCTTATTGTGATTTCATAATCTGTAAAATAAGCTGATTATTTCTTGCTCATGGTACTGGTATCATGCCCAGGAAAAACGCCTTAGATTTTGTTTTGACATGAATTTTCCTCCTCTGTGTTCATGTTTTTGATGTTTTACTATCAGAGGTACTAAAGCCTTGAGCTGAAATACAGCAACTACCTTTGGCACACACACACTGTTCTCCTTTATGGTCCATGCTGGGGAAGGGGGCAGGGATTTAGGGTACGTACATTCCCTAAGGAGCGATCCAAGGAGCCCAGGACTTCATTCCAATGGGAGTAAAGCCCAGACTGTTTTTCTTCTAGCTTCAAAGCATGGATTTCAGACTTCAGTTCTTTCAGTCGATCTTCAAATTTTCTGCTCTTTTCTAAGTAGTCGAGCCTGAGTCCACACATGGGAGACAAAAAGCTTAGTGACATCACATAGCCCAAGAACAGGTGTGTGCGTGGAAGGAGGAGAGTTGTTCTCTGTTTCATTTTGGAGTTTGATAGGCAAAATGAAGTCTGGCACATGTCAGTCTGCCCCCCCTGACCCAGTGAGAAGGAGGTTCACCTTCTTCTTTTTACTTCCAAGCTTTTGACCAAGCATTTCCTTCCAGACCGAGGGAGGAAAAGCCTCTGCTGGATTAGCTCACAGCAATACCACACTTTAGCACTAGGGGGAAACTTCTCTCAACTGCTGTTGGTTCAGCAAAGTGCTTTGTCCCTGACATGCTGCTCCCCAAGGCAGAAGGTTCTGCACTTTTAATGGCTTGATGCCACCAAAAAACACTTCCTGTGTATAAATAGCTGGTCTTACACGGGCATCATCCACACCAGCTCAGTGAAAGGCCATACGTACAAGTAGGAGGCCATCCCAAGTTATTAAAAGGATGAACTGAGATTCCCAGAGATTTCCTTTCTATACTTTCCTTGATTAACATTCTCATTTATTTACACCACAAGCATACTGATACCTCTCTTTCTCTATCTCAAAGGATAATCTCTTGAGGTCAATGTCCTTCAAATCCAGCTTTATGGATCCTTTGTCAAAGTTGGCCTCTCTGGTGTCAGTTGGGGAGTATTGTGGGTACTTGGCCACGTGCTGAAAGAGGCAACACAAGCACTGTCAGTAAGATCTGATTGTTTGGTTTTGGGTTTATCTCCCCAGCTTCTGCAAGAATGCCCAGCTGAGCCATTTCATAAGATTCCGAGACACACAGATGCTCCTGCAGCCCTTGCCCTGTCCCCAGCTGAACTGCCAAAGTCCCCAGCCCACAGATCCAAGGGCAGAGATGTATCCTGGCTGAGAATGGAAACCCATCCTCTGCAAGACTGGAGCAGAAAAGAAAGCTGGGGCACACATCCTTAGTGCTGCCTTCTTGCTGGAGACAGCTCCATCTGCTTTGCCTAATGACACTCATGGGCAATTCCCGTGCCAGGATGACACAGCTGGTTCAGTACAACCATCTCCATGAAGTACTGCCTGATTGAAATGGCACAGAGTCAGTATTAGGCATGAAGGCAAGACAGTCTCTGCTCCCTAAGTCCCAACACCAGTCCTGTTTTTAACTTCTGTCTTGCCTTTCTTTACAGCCTGACTTACTGCCCTGAACAAACACAACTTCCATCCTCACTACACTGTGTTTATGCACCACTTGGTCCCGCAGGTGTTTGTCCCCCCCTTGGATGCTGAAATGTCACTACTCAGCTTGATGGGGGCTATAAAAATGCCATCAACATCTGACTGTCTCTGAAGATGAAGTGGTGCCCAGTAGAGCAGAAACTTACAGGATAATTAGGCCTGGTTATGTCTAAGAGTTTCTGCTTCGCCTTCCGTTCAGCCTCCCTGGCTTCATGCAGGTCTTGTTTCAGATGCTCTGCTTCCTTGGCTCTGAAAGATAAACATCCTGATGTGAATGGTTGATGATTTCCAGCATAAAGTAACACATGGATTTCAGAGCAATGCACCTCACTAGCTTCCAGAGAACAAGTCCACTACTGTGATAACTTTACCCCAAGACATATGTGGTAGGATGGTCACGTGGAGAACTAACTGCACACAGCATGAAACACACTTTCAGAGACAATCCTGCATAAACTGGCTGAATTAACATGTTTTTCCTATTCCTCATTTCCATGGGCTAAGCTGTGACCTGCTGATAGAGATTCTCCAGGCTGTCAGAGATCCTCCCTGAGGTGGGGAGAGGTGCAACTTATCTGCTCTTTATTTTGGAAAGCTTTTTGGCAGTATCCTAAAACAAGCAGAAGGCCCTTAATAGCAAGGTTAAACATCCTCTGTCAACACTGGCCTGTTCTGCATTTTCAGGCAGCACAGTGTTATGGAACATGCAAACAGTTGGAGTGGTTTACACTCCACATGAGTTTGCCTGGCTTACACCTCTCAAAGATCTGAGTGGGATACAAGAGACCATCACCTGGTATTAATGAAGGAAAACAGCCTCCTAACTCACAGGTATATAGATTGGGAAATTTAAATAGTTAGGTAGTCAGTGCTCTTTTGATAACACTAAACATCAAATGCTTCTGCATCCTGGATCTTTCCTACTAAACATCTCTAAAGCTTTGCATCTTCTCGATCTGCATCACAACCACTGGGACCAGGTGGAACAAACAAGATGCAAGGAGGCTTAGTCACTGTGAAGTGTCACTCCAGGAACAATTCCTCCCTGCTGGGCTTAGCTGTAAGAAAAGCAGCACTCTCTGCACCCAGGCATCCCAGCTGAGATCACACAGCCCCGTCAAGCAAACCCCACCTGCGGTCAGACTCCTTCACCAGCTTCACTGCAATCAGCTCTGCCTCCCGCATCTTCTGCTCCATCAGGCGTTTCTCCTCCTTGGTTTTCAGAGCTGTGATCTCCAGCCTCTGTCGCTCCTGCTCGGCTTCTGCAGCGTTCTGGGCCAGCAGTTTTGCCTCTTCTTCTGCAATCTGAGCCTTCTCAGCCAGCAACTCTGCTGCTTCCTGGGATCGAAGCTGAGAAGAAACAATTTTTCTTAGTTCCTTATCTGGCATCTCCAAAATCACCCCTGCAGACAGGCAGGAAGAAGATATCTCTTCCCAAAAGATCAAGTGATAAAAATGTTATTTCTTAAATAAAAGTTAAATATAATTGTAGGGTCTGGTGTTCCTCCTCTGCTCCAGAACTTCCTGCCTCTCACCTCTACAAAGCAAGGAGACACATGTGCATAAAGCTGGACAAAGATATCAACCAAAAATTGAAGTCAGCCCCTTCAGTTGCCAGTGCACTGTGCCCCTTTCTCCCAATTTCAGCTCCAAGGTTGCTTCCTTTCTCCCCCCTTTGCCTGAAGAAAGCACTTTGAACCAAAAACAGGGAGTGAATGGCTCACAGCAAAAGGAGACTATGGCAGAGCAGCATTTTCCCAGGTATTCCTGCATGCCCTTTCCACCAGGGATAAGAAAGTCTCCAGCTTTGTCTGAGCTCTAATGCCTGGTGTCTCACAGGAGCCATAAGACAAAAAAAAAATCCTCCTTCCCAAACAAGAAAGCCCCTCAAGCACAAGAATATTCAAATGAACGTGCTACTCACCAGGGCCTCATTTGCCTGCCTGGCTTCATCTTCCAGCTGGAAAAGCCGCCTTTCCAGCTCTTCTTTGGCTCTCTCAGCTTCTTCTCGGAGCTGCTTCTCCCTGGCCAGCCTCTGATTCTCCATCTGGGAATAGGAGGAGCAACACCACGTTTGTGGGTTTGCAGCAGAATCTCACCTGGGCCTGAGGCAGTGCAGCAAATGCATCTGATGAAGAACAGGCTGCTCTCTGTCTGGGGCACTGACAGTCACCAGAGATGCAGCAATGAAGCTGCTTGCACTTTGCAGCACTGAACTCCTCTAGCAGGTAATACTGGTTATTTCAGATTGCTGGAAGAGCCCTTGGATTGATGTGTTATATACCCCAAATCTTTGCTATCACCTATTCAGTCTCACAAACACGACTGACATCCTCTGGTGCCACACACATGCTGGAGCTCTTCCCACATTCAATCCTGCTGCACTTTCTTACCTCCCACACACGCAAGGCATGGGCATCAAGGGCACCAGCTGGAATAATAATCACTGTTTTCAACAGTACAGGAGCAGAAAGAACCTACCTTTTTTCTAGCTTTTTCTTCCTTGGCTTGTGCTTTCATTTGCTGGATCTCTATTGAGTCCACTTTTCTTCTCCTCATAAATAGGTCATGGTTTCCAATGCACAACTGGAAAATCTGGATAGGAAAGGTAAAGCAAATGTGATTTTGATGTACTTGTGCCCCAGCCAGAGGGACAAAGAGCCCCACACTGGCCTCACAGGACAAGTCAAGATTTCAGCACAAATGCTGGCAGTTGCTTCCCTTCCAAGAAAATCAGCACCCAGGGCAGGCTCATGTAACAGTTTAGATAAGTTTGTAACAAAATGAGAGGTTCCTTCTGTCCTTCATCCTTCTCTGATCCCACCCCACACAGGCAGCTGCTTCTGCAGTGGCTTTGCACTTTTCCATACACCACATCCTCCCCTTTCAGTATCTTTTTTTCCCTTTGTGATTTGGGCCTTCTTTCACATTTCACTTTTCACCCACCATCTCCCCTTTCCGGAGAGGGCAGAGATACTCTCCCCGACTCCTTAGACAGAACAATCCCCAGGAAAACATGCTGAAAATCAGTGCTCCCTTACTCTCCAAAGGTTTTACAAGCAGTGTTTCTCACTCAGGTATCAGCCAGTATTACCAAGTTCAGACCTAAAGAAGGAAAGCAGGACACTTACCAATTTGTTCACTTTGAGTTGAGAGGAAAAGAACTTGAAGACTTCTGCTTTTTTGTCAAGAGGTTTGATAGTTAACTATACAGGCAAAATTAAAAAGAAAAAGGAAGCACAGTAAGAAGGAGAAAAACAAAACTGAAACTATTAATACTGATGCAAACTTTAGCTCATCTCCACTCCTCTCCAGGGAAGCAGTTATTTATGCCACAAATGTGGGGAGAGTGGTGCAAGGGCCTAAAGGACTTGTTCCTCTGACCAGCACGTAACAGTCCTGGAGCCCCTGCTTTCTCACTTTTTCAGTCCATCCCTCAAACTGTTCCCAGAGGACATGAAGGGCTTTCATGCTGCCAGGTTGGTACAAACTGCTCCGCCTCATACCCTGGGCTAGGTTTGGCTGCGTAACAAAATATGGCTCCATTCTTTAAGATCCTGTCTGTTGTGACTCGTGGGTTAGTGTGGTGGTTTAGGAATGGTGTTCTCCAGGACCAGGACAGTTAGACAGCACTCTATTCCAATAACTCATTTGCAATGTAATGTGTAATTCCAGGGCATCTGAGTCACCAAGATCATGAGGTCCTACAGCTCATTTTACTCCATTGGTAATGACTTGTGAGGAGCAAGGCTGTAATGTGTCACTAAATATAGTAGAGATTTAGCACAGGGATGCCCAATTTCCCAATAATAGTGAGTTAACACAGTTTATTCACACACCTGAGGGGAAGTTTAGTGTTATCAAGGACCAAAAAGTCTTTAGAGGCAGAAGACCTGTAGCGTTGCCTGATTTAATGTACATGCATCTAACTCCAGAGAGCAAATCTCATCTCAATGTTTTCCAAAAAGCCCAAAGAAAATTGGGAAAAAGGTGTGCTGTCCTTTGGCTGACAAACTCCAGGTATGCCAGTTCCAATGCAGTTTTCCTGATTTTGTTTTTCTGATTGTAGCCTTCCATGTAGCCCATGATTTGTAATGAGAGTAAATTTTACCCACTCTCCACGGTACTTCCTACGAGTAAAAGCTGGGCTCTGAAATCACAGTGAAATTGCAGTGGTAGGGTTGTGCTGGAGCCTGAAATCATGCACTGACAAACTGGCAGAGTTCAGGCAGAAAAACATGGATCTCTCCCTGCATGTCTCCTCTTGCCACTGCGCTTCAACCCCCAGCTACAAGGAGGTTTTCTGCTGGGGAAAACGGCATTAAGTTTTTATGGATCATCGAATTCCCACTGAGATAACTGAGGAAGCCAGTCACGGTGGCATTCCTAATATCTATCTTTTTCAGAGATCAACACACTTGTTTTGCAAAGGACAAGCAGCAGGGAGGGAACCAGAACAGAGTGTGAGAGCTCAGAGCAGCCCCCGGCGCCTCGGGGAACCGAGGTTACGAGCACATCTGAAAGGCAGGTCTGTTATTTTTAGTTTTGTAACAAAGCTCCCCAGGATTTTCCCCTTCTCCCCCAAATTATTTAAACAGAGAAAGCTTTCAGCCTGTTCCAAGAATCCCAGTCCACACCCATACAAAAAGAATAATACATCAAAGCCATTGTACCTCTTTCTCACTATAGGAAATGTTTCTGATAGCGCTCCACTCAAACGACTTGTTTGGAGAGAACCTGTTATTAATGCTGTAGATATGAATACCTTTGGCATCAACGCCAAGCAGGAGATCTGTGTGGTTTTTGTTTTGCTAAAAAACAAGAGATATCAGTAAATGGCATTTATGGTGACGTTAAACAACCACAGACAAGAACCACACTTATTTTAATGCATTGATATTTATCTGTATTTTTAGGAATTGGTGTTTCTACAAAATATAGAGAATGTTGTCACTGCTACCTGATAATCCAAGTCCTCTAGGTTGAGTACAGCAGCTCAAACTATTTCTCCTTCTTCCTATTACATATCTGGAGCTACTCAAGACCTTTGTCTGATTGTAAAACATTAATCTTAAATGTTTTATTCACGACTCCTTTAGCAGCCAAGTAAAAGCCAGGACAATCATTACACAGCCCACCATCAGCAGGGAAAAGCAGAAGTTAGGAGTCCCAGTTCCAAACTCCCTGGAGGATTTTAAAAGAACAGCACCATCATCTACAGCAATTGAAAACTGCTAAAATAAGGCACTTACAGCAATTGGAAAATAATTGACACCATACATTTCCAAGTCTTGGGCAATTTTCAGGTAGTTCATCTCAGCTTCATCCCTAGAGAATAAGGCCATGATTATAAGATTCCTTTCTAACTTTTCTCTCCTGGCTGGTTCTACATTCCCCACTTAGAAACGAACAGGCAATCTGGTCCTTTGTACAAACTTACTTAAATTTTGCCATCTTGCTCTCAACAATAGAAAAAGGATAATAAAACCAGCATCTCAACAGAAAAAAGACAGTAAAGTTGCACCTATTTTGATCCATGAATCATATATAATGTAATCTTTATTAAAATTCAAGTCCAGTCTTATCCTTGTGTTAGTTTTGCCACTCCATCATTATTATGTCTTGGAAACCTACCCTGCTATTGTTTTCCATTACATGAATATATTTCCTTCAGGAAATAGAGTTCATTGAGAAATGAGTCCTGAACAAACTCTAAACAGAGCTTATGGTCAAGGCCAAAGAAGGGTCTCTCCACCCACTTTTCTCCTCCCTTCAAGGTGAGGCATCAATAAGTCTTGAGGAAAATATTCAATAAAAATAGTGCTAAAAAGCCTCTTGTGCAGCCAAAGAGAAACTGAGCCCAAATATTCAGAAAAGCTGCCTTTGGGTGCCAGCATCTCCTATTTCTCATTTAATTGAATTTCCGGACGTGCTGAATGTCTTGAAGTAGCTGAATGTCTACATGGATTAGAACCAAAAGTCATGATGCTGTGTCTTTACTGTTTTGCTTCCTTTCTAAGTACACTGACACCATTTTGAGCCATAGTTCTCACAAAGTATAAAATATATCAGATTTATTGTTTTCATTCTAGGAGGAGACTGGTGTGATCCAGCTCCAGAAACGCAGCTCCTGCACAGGACAGACATCAGCAACTCCAGGAAGCAAATGGCCTTAAATGAAAATGCAAAGCTCTCAGGGCCACCTGCAGATTCAACACAACTCACTCTCTCTGCAGGAACTTCTCTCTGCTGGCATATATGGACTAGGAGGCAGGACTCCTGTTTCAGATGTGTCGGGTTATGAAGCTCTGCACGAGCCCTCAGTTTCTCTGTTCACCTCAAAGCAAGTCCAGTTTACAAGCACTTGGAGCCCTACACGAGACACTTTTTACCCCAGATGAGCTGGTGCTTTTATCCTCAGTGATAAATTAATTAACACAGCTGGGAGACCAATATTTCTTTGCTCACTGCACAAGAGCCAAAGTTCACTGTAGACAGCAAATAACCAGTGAGTGAAATGTGTGGGATTTCCAAAGAGTGCAATGACTTCAGTACCTGGCAATACCCCTGTGCTCAGCATACCAGGCAGTGATCTTCTCTTCCCACATCTCTGCTGTCAGCTGGTACTGCCTGAGGACCTGCAGAGAAAGGAAGAAGGTTGGTTTCCTTTGAAGATCCATGTGCTGCCTCTCCCAAGCAATGTGAGTGCAGCAATGCAGTTCACAGCTCAGTCACTTTGCACAGTTTCTAATGCTCTGGTTAATCCACAGCAATATTTGTGTTGCAGAGTAGGTTCAAAGATTTGGTTTTATATAGAATAAAGACTTACCCTTTTGGGTAAAAGCTCATCATGGGCTAGAAAGCCTGGCTCGTGAAAATTTGGGTCGTAGTCACCATACTGTGCCAAGAAAGGAAAAGATAGTTCAGGTTGTTGGATGCAGAATGCTGAAGAACTTGTTGCTTGTGTAGTTTAATGTGATTGCTTGGGACAGATTTTATTTTGGTTCTCTTGTGTACAGGGTAACAACATAAACAGGCTCCTCTCATCTGAACAGTCCATGAAAGTTACTTCCAGGCCTTGTGTTATGCACCTGGCTCCAACACAGCCACTAAGGTGGCCTCCAAACTTAGACTTCAGTCCCAACCTGTGGCTCTTGGAAACTGCAGGAAGGAAGGAATCTCCCATGACTTCATACTCTGAACCAGAGGAATGTGAGCTCCCCTATTCCTACAGCCAACTGCATATAAGCTGAGCTGCTGCAGAGGGTCAGCCCTGCTAAGAAATTGTGTTCACCTCCTGCCACTGGATGAGTTTGACCCTTGGTGGCATGAAGTGGACTATGTTCTGAGAGATACTAAAAAACATCATGTCCTCCCATTGTAAGCACCTTCTGTATCTAGGAAATAATTCTAGCTGGGAGAAAGATTACATTAAAATGTTAAAACCAAAGCAATCCTCTAAATTGTGAAAGCACAGTATAGAAAAAAAACCCCTTGTAGTGGCATCTAATGCTTATTTTTCTAACTGTGCCTGTACCTCCCACGATGACCTACCTCTTTCACAGGAAATTTTAACGCTGCTGTGTTTTACATACCGCCATGTAGATGTGTTGGTTAAAAAAAAAGAAAAAAGAGTCAATAAAAGAGACCTTCTATGCACAAACCTTGGCCTGAACAGCATAAGAAGCCAGTAAAACTGTTGCTTCTGGTGAACAATAGATTTCCTCATCCAGTATTTGTTTCTTAACCTACACCGACAGAAAAAGGGAGCAAGTTAAAGAAGCTCAAAATCAGGACTAATGTAAGGCTTGAAATGAAACTAGACATGCCCAGACCATAACTTGGCACCAAACATCACCATTATGAGTTAATAACAGCAACAATAAATAGGCATTCAGGAACACAGGAAGCCTTTACTTAACATTACATTTAATGAGACCAAAAATGCCAGTCAGCTATCTCCACACAGTTATGTAAGGAGTCCTGTAAAAGGAAATGTTATAAAACATGATTTTTATTGTCTGCACTTCATTTCTTTTAACAATCCTTTTTCTTTCTGCTTTGGAAAAGTTAGCTTTAGATCATGTCAAACATCAAATTTTAGGTTGGAAGGGAGCTCTGGAGGTCACTTGGGACCTACTAGACCAGATTGCTCAGGGCTGACTGGTATTGCCATGGACATACTGAAACCATAATAGTATGTTCTCAAGCTTTCCAGAATGAGAAAATAAAGGAGTTCTAAAAAAGGGAAGCTAATAAAGCACTAATTTATTCCATTTCAGCGGTCTCAGCACAATAACACCATAGGGACTTAAAATAAAAGCCCAGTATAAATGGTAGAGGGTTCTTTTAACATTCTTTTCATTTTAATAATCTGTGGTGCTACCAACACCAGAGGTGTAATAAATTGTTTGTGAGCTTTTGTTTGATTTTAAATCAGTTGTGCAATTTTTATTTGAAAACCCAAAGAGGGAAGGGGAAATTAATCTTCACAAATCCTTCTCTCAGGTGTAATGTTTTTAACCTAATAACAAGCACAAGACAACAAAATTTTGCATAGCACATAGACTTAAACATTTCCAAAAGGAAAAATTACTTGTGATAGCACCAAGCTATCTTTACAAATACACCCTGGCACTGCAGGTGCTGTGAACTGAAATGAACCATCAAGAAAGTTTTTCTTTTAAATTTAGTCTCTGGTGAGTCCAATGTATGAACCTGAGTTATAGTACAGAGAAAATTCTTTCTAAGCTGTTAAAATGGAAAGAATGAAAAGACCGACAAGACTTTTCTTCCAATTTGGAAAGCTCCAGCTTTCATACTCCGTGGTGCATATCGTGTTCCAGAATTTAGAACAATGTAGATAAATCCCCCATAAGTGTCTGGGGTTTTTTTCTGATCAGATTTTACAAGGACTTTTTGTTAAACTGCATAAAGAAGGAACAAATTACCTAATCTTTAAGCAGACAACATTTAGCTTCAGTCATTTACATTGATTCAGGAATTTTGCAAAAGGCTGTTATGCCCCATTAATTTGCAGAGGTCTGAATAGTCAGTAGAGCTGAAATCTGTAGGCATCCAGATGTCTGTACATGTTTTTCCTATTAGCATCCAGGTGTGATCTTAAGTTCTTACAGTCAGGAAACTTTGCAAGTTCAAATTTGTTTCAGTCTTGTTTTCCTACTTCGGAATGACAAGAATTTGCTAATTGCATATCTGCTAGTCAAGGCAGGTTCAAGCAGAAAAGAAAAAAAACAGTGAAAAAATCAGGATTAAAAGACTAGGAAAAGAGTTCTGCCCCTCTCATTCGTTTCCAAAATTACCTTAATAAGCAAATTTCCAAGTGGTTAAGGGTTCTGGATGAAGTTCTGGTTAGTGTATTAACCCTCAGAACAGCATCATTTTCCCATTATTTCATTAACACATCCTCCTCAGGGAACAAGGGTATTTACTGTGTTTATCTGCAGCTGCAGACTGAATTTATTCCATACACCCAAGCTACCTGCACAGACACATCCTGCTGAAAGCTGCCAGAATAAAGCACCACACCAGAAGGCTGAAACTTCCAGAGGGACTCCCCAGTCACTTGGGAGAGAAGGTGGATGTCCCAGACATTGGAACAAACAGCTGATCAATGAGTGACCATCCAAAACTCGATGCCTGTATCCCATTGCTCCAGCTCCAGCCTGTTGCTGCAGCTGTGGAGACACAGCAGGGCTTTCCCTGGGCGATGCATCTTTATTTTGGTGACGCTCCAAGAATTTGCTCCTTCGTCTACTTTTTAATGGAGCTGAGGAATTGTGTCCGCTGTCTGTTCCTTTCAAAACTTGCTAGATGAACAAACCTGTGTTTCAGAATGGCTGCCAAATTCTATGCTCTTTTACCCTTACGATCCAAAATGAAGATTTAAGAAGGCCATGTCAGGAAGTGCTTGTTTTCTAGTGGCTTTGCTTTCTACCGTCCTGCAAAAGATCTCCCAATAACCACCAGGACTATTTTTAGGAACTCACGAGTTTTAGTTTCGGGGATAGGCTGTAGCCAAAGGTCTTGTTCCATCTGCTGCTGATATGGGTGAAAAAGCTTATTGTCCCCAACTGCTTATTACCATTCCTTCCCTCTCCTCCACAACTGCTTCCACAATTGCCTGTGCAGTCACTCCCCCACAGCCCGTGGACATCTAATAACAGGCCTCTTCTAATTCTGCTCATTTTGAAAGAACAGGGTTAGGGAATGGTTACACAAGAGGTTACACCAGCAGGTCTAAAATGACAGTGACAAGGAGCTGTTGAGAGTCTCTTCATCCACCTTATCTGCAGCCAGAGCAGATCAGGTGACACAGTCCTCAAGACAACTTCTTAAACTGATAAAAAGGATGGTTTCACTTTTATTCTCAGCACTGACCAGTTAGGGCAGAAGCCTCACAGTCCTCCAAGCAGTGCCAGCCTTGCATGGATTTTTTAACAAATACTATAGGAGCAAAACCAACCCTGGAATATCCAGACGTGGAATCATCACCCAAACTGCTAGGTGTAAAAGTCATTTTACATGAAACTACAGGTTTCAGTAATTTAACTCCAATTCCCAGCACAAAAGGTAGGAGAAGCCATCAAGAGAACAAAAACCTACAGAAGGCAAAACATTCAGCTCACCTGAACAAAACCACAGCAGTCAGGAGAGATATTTGTATTTCATAAAATAAAAAATATTTAGAGAGATGCTGATACAGCTGAAGCAAGCAAAATCATTGAGAATAACAGCTGCCAACAAGATCAAAGACAATACAAAAGGACTGGGGTAAATACAGAAGGAATTCATGGTTAAAAATTATTCCTGACCTGAAGGAAGAATAAATGCTGGGTAATTTCCTGTAATAGTTCCTCTTCTACCTTCTCTGGGTAGAATTTAGCCAAAAAATGAAAGCTAATGGGATCTTCTTTGGGGATTTCTTGATCTAAAACCTGTTTACAGATAAAATAAAATCAGCAGCGAAAATGATACATAAGTGTCTAAAGTTAATATTCCCAAGGAAAACAAGAAAGCAGCCCATAATCCACTTAAAGCAGCCTTCCCATATTTTAGCAGGAAGGGCAATGCTGAGTTTTAATCTAAGAGCAATCAGTGCATGTAGTGGTGATTAGTGTGTGATGCTCCAGGTCACATGGGATAGAAGCCACCAGACCAAATAGTACAATTTTAGTCTTAAAAATGCTACCATGTAAAATTGTGAGTTGTCAGGTAACACATTCCTTTAGCTCCTGTGCTACAAAAGGTGAATATTTTTTATAAGTAACTGCCACACTGTAATATTTTGTTTCCTATACCTTCTTGTCCATCTTTAACCAGGTGCACATTCCTTTAATTGTGTACTGCAGGCCGAAGAACCAAGTCTCCCTTAAACCAAGTGCTCGGCACACCAGGTCAAACAAGTCCTTTCCCTTCCACTTCATCTAAAAGAGAGAAAGAAAATTGAGGAAAACAATTATTTTAACATATTAATATTACTACATTAATGTATTAAATGATTTTTTTTCCATTTGTCTTTCTCCTGTGAACTCTGATTTCACCTTTAGATTTTCAATGAAATATTCCTACTGCTGTGTAAGAGTTACTGTGCTCCACCTCCTCTCCTTCTCCAGAGACACATCCACAAAGCAACTGGAGTTATTTAGCCACAACAGCAAGAACTTGAGGAGCACAGGGCATGAGGATTGTACTATTGATTTCCTAGGACAGAGCAAGGCTTTATTAATATTTGTAAAAAAATTATTACTCAATAGTTTACACAAACTGGAGAAACTGAGGGAAGGCCAGGGGAAATCAAAGCAGTGTCAGGGCACAGGTTAGGAATGCTGAACAAGGAAAGTAAATCCACCTTTCACACACCTCAGGTATTTCAGTGGCACCAGGCCAAGCCTTTATGTTCCTCTGATTTAAATGAGCAGGAGTCTGCCTTCTGCAGCAATTTAGTAGCCTGGCTCCACAGAGAGCAAACTTTGATTAAAGGTCCCAGATTCACAGACATGATCCCCCTTTTTTTTTTTCAAAAAGGCTGCACATCTGTTTCATCTATTGGACTACATGTTAAAAAGATGGTTTTGTCTAATTGCCTGGGTCGGCCACTAAAAACTTAATGGCAATAAAAAAAAAAAGTGAACTTTTAGGCAGTATTTGAGTGGAAAGCTGGAAACCATCCCAGCAAAAGAGCAATATCTGAGGAGAAGGGAGAGATAGCAAAGGAAGGAATACATAAAGCTGGATTTGTTAACCAGGACTCTGATGTCTAAATCGAAATTTCCAAATCCTTTATTTTCCCAACTCTGCCTGCAAGAACTCTAGATCAGTCAAGTCTCATAAAAATTGCCAGTCCCATTGGACCTCAGTTTTGTAACTACTCAAAATAACTGTATGTCTTATTTTGCTTTTGCTGGATGATTAGGAATTAATCAGGCACAGTTCTTTCTCCTTGATAGTGCAGACCAATTTATTTAGCAATTGATTGCTTGCTATATTTTATTCGAGTCATGATTTCTCTAACCAATTCACTAGATAGCCATAACAAATAGAAGAAAAGCCAGCTTTTCATTTGATTCTTTTTCTCTTTGCCCAGAGATACCAAACAGCCACTGCAGTTAAAGAAATAAACTGCAGTTTATTGGCCAAATTGAAGAAAATGTCCCAGATCAACTGAGCACAAAGGTACCAGTTTATAAGTTATTTTATAAGTAACATGTTAGCACCAGCTTTAACCAGATTTCTTCATTTAAGCTGGTAGTGTCCTAAAGTGTTGTATCACTTATAAAAACAAATTATTTTGTGGAGAAGTAGGAATACTTACAAACAAGGCCTGCATTATGTCCTGGAATGCTTATGAAGAAAACAGACCTACTGCTAATTTAGCTGTGTCACCCACAGGGATTTCATGCAAAGAGCTTTGAATTCTGAATAGTTTGAGCTGTTTTACAGAAGAAAACATCTGAGACTAAGTAATCCATAATAGATCAGTCTTAAGACCATCCATGAACCAATAATCTGAACTTTCAGGATTTCTGCCTTGCTAATACACGTCAGTCCCCACCTCCCCAGCATTCTGACACTCTTACCTCACAGCTGAACTCCATTTCAGCATCCACTGTTATAATTTTGACTTTAAAAGTCTTCGGCTGTTTCTTCTTCAGGCCTCGGATGGACATATTTTTCAGTTTATGAGGACAGCCACACCTGAAATCAGACATGCATTACACTTAGGGATGGAAATTCAGCAACATTTTCTTGGCTAGATCCCAAAGTAGGATGAGTTCAAACACGCAGAATAAAATCACCTTTAAATATGCATTTCTGTGTCCAAGACAGGAAGAATATTGAAACAAAAAATACAGTTCAACCTTTAAAATTAGCCTGCTCCTTAAAATAAGTTGCTCAAAAAATGTCATTGCTGTCTCTTCTCAGACCTTGGCAAATTGGTCTGAGTTCGGGGTTCCTACAGTACTAGACAGAGCATCATTCAGGGCTTATATTGCAAGATCCAGCTACGGCTGAGGACGTGTAGGGAAGCTCAAATCCAGCCCTCGTGCTCCATACAATCAGCCACATCCCTGCAAATCAGGAGTCTCTTGCAACAAAACTCTACAGTGGATGAGTGTTTAGTTTCATAAAAGTAATGCCTGGCTTTCGAATAATGCCAACACAAATATGACATTCTTCATCCATCCCCATCCAAGAAAAAATTCCCTTTCTCAAAGGTCAGGTAACAACACCAAGTGCATCTACACTCAGTAGAACACCACAAAAAAGCAGCAAAACCTTATGATGTCAAATCATCAACTCAGTGCTGTTCCATCAGTTTTGGCTCCTTGAGCATGAGATCTCAATTCCCTGAAATGATACAAATGCCAAAAATACATGCACTGAAATTAAGCTGAATTTACCATGTTCTCTTGGGCTACCAAACTCGCAGTGATGAGTTATTTAGAACAGAATTTTTTCCAGTGAAGTTCTTGTGAAATGAATTTAATTTTGTGAAAGTTGACAGAAAATTCCTTCACAAATCTTCTGTTCTAAATGCAATCAACTTCATGCCATCCAAAATATTGATGAGACCTGCTATTTCCACAGACACAAGGGCTTTTTGTGGATACATTCACACCAAATATTGAAAGCTGAGGTTAAATGACAGTGTGAATCTGCACTAGGCAGTTCTCAGGTGTTTATTTCTGAACACAGGAAATCAGCCTGTAAAGTTTTTTCTTCTTTTTAGTTTATAAAATTAACAGCTCAGACTTGCACGACCCAGTGAGTATCTGTGAACTATACAGGGCAAGAGACTGAGGGATTCTTGGTTTCCTACAATATAAGACTATTACAGTGTGGCAGACTTCCAACCTCTCCTTAAGAAATTCCAAAATGAAGTTCTAGTTTAAACTGAAAAGTTCCATTTGCCTGAACCTTCCAGGATTTTATAAAATGTCTTGCCCCCTTCTTTGCTCCTTCTGAGCTCTAAATTGGCTTGCAAATGCAGTGATTATTTTCCACTTGCTTTGTGCCCCTCATCCAGAAATTTTAAGTAGCTAAATAGGCAGTAAAATCCACATGGAAGTTTTTCTTTTCAAACTGTAGGGAAGTTGAGGCAGAGAACACATGGGTTAGTTACCAAATCATATGGACATCAGCAGCAGAGGTGAGAACAAGTGCTTGAGGCAACTCAGAGAGGGGAAGAAAAGCTCGGGAGGAAATTCATCTTTCTGACACCAGTGAGAGCAGCTGAGTTCTCCTCTCCCTCCAGTTGGCTCTTGTAGAGCTTCTGCCGAAGTCTTGTTTGGTTTTGGGGAAACACACTTCTGGAAAGACAGTGTGCTAACTGGAAACAGTCCAGAGGAGAGATCCAAGGGCTAGAAAATCATCTGTGGTAAAATGAAAGTACTGGTTAGTACAGAGAAAGGACAGGTGTGGTGAGACATTATAATGTCTGCTCTTCGTGACCACAACAGTCAGGACAAGGAATAATGGGCTTCATTAACTTGCAGACAGGTTGCACACTGAGGAAAAAAAAAATCAAGAATAACAAGAATATTATGATTCTGGCAAAGCATAGAATGGCATTTCTGTCTTTCTGAATTTCTATCCAAAACAGTGTGACAGCTTCTGCTCCCTCCTGAAGGCTGGAAGGTCCTACAACCCTCAAAGTATTCCCCCCAAGTTGGTCCTTCTGCCAGTGCCCACCACTAGTCCAAGGAGAGGCCAGTTCACACCAAGAATCAGTGTAATCCAGGGTGCTTCCCATCACCCCCAGGGTACCCCCTTTCTCCTCAGGGATTATTTATTTAAGCAAGTGAAAAGCAGACCTTTGCCACAGAGTTTGTTTCCTCTATAATTTAGGCAGCACCCCAGAGTACACGGCTGAGCACAGCTCAGCTCCTTTCCACTTAGCACAGAAAAGTGCTTTCAATTAAAGGGAAAGGAATATTAAAAACCAAAAACTGACCACAGCAGTGTGGTAACGTGACCACAGCAATATTGACACCGAGAGCACCATGTGAGGGCATCCAAACCAGCAGGAATTACCCCAGTGACTTTTTGATCTCTAAACTGCAAGATGCAACACAGCTCACAGCAAAATTAAATTTTAACCTGTTGCGTTCCAAATGTGTTTTCTGTCTAGTTTTCTTCAAAACCAGAGGCTTACTGTGAATAATTGTACCATGGGATACAGCATTTATAGCATGAGAACTGCAGACTTCTGTACAATATTGGAAACACCCCCTTCTTCTATTACTCCTAAAGAATGACCAGTGGCTGAAGGCAAAGGAGAAAAAAGGTTCATAATTCATTTTTAATATGTAATTTGAAACAGCCAGTTGAATTAAACAGGAACTTGGAGTTAAGGCCAGTACAGAGGATTCTGAGAGGTTCATATGGAAAACTCTGAACAAATAAAATCTAACAACTGCAAAGAAATGTACTAATTTTCTCAAAATATGAGAAAAATACCAGAGCCCTTCATTTTTACTTTGAAGTTCTTTCATTTTTCTTATATAACCTGGTTGAAATGACAATATAATTTGTTCAACATTTCCAATAGCTGGGTTTTTTTCTTTCCAGAATTTTTATTCCATGGAAAAGTACATTCTGACTCACAGTGAAAAGACATTTTTGAATATCAAATTTTCCCGAGAAAAGTAAACTGCATTTTAATCAATAGCACTGGTAAAGAAATTGGAAATGGTATTCACACTGAGCAGCTTAAATTAATGTCAGATACTGACAACAGAAGAAAAAGCACTTAACAGTCCAGTTTTTAGAAAAATAACTTCTTTAAATAAGAGAAATCTTGCTGAACGAGACAATCTGGGTTTGCAATCTTTTGTTTAATGCAAAAGCAATCCCTGCTAACAACAGCATTTAACTGTGAATCATGTGCAATGTGCTTCAAGATAGAGTTTCTGACACCAGGCTCCAGGGATTTATTTCTGCACTTGCCACAGGGATCCAGGCTCAAGACCCAGAAGCAGCAGAACGTGATAGATCAGAGCATGTCATAACCTTTCCAAAGAACATATTAATCCAAAATAGGACGGGGTGATAAAAGATTCCTGTCCAGCCAGAGTCTGGGAACAGACAGTTCAGAAGCTGTGAACATCCACAGCTCCTCCTGCATTTTGTGGACACCAACAGGGAGATGATAAAAGCTTTGTGTGATGAGGGAAACAGAAAGGCAGCGATGAGGAACAAAATGTGCAGGAACCAAACAGCTCCGACTCTGCCTTTCAGTGTGTTCATGTCTAAGATGAAAGAGGTGACATCTACCAGCTCTGGCTGGATTATGGTCTTGTGCCTCCTGGACAATGAGAAACCAGGGCCTGAGCAAAATGTGGGGGTGCAAGGGAAGCTGGGAACAGCAGGGAAGAGCAGGAAGAACTGGCAAGGCAACTCTTGCAGGGACTGATGCTTATCTGTATCACAGCACCAGGTGGGCAGTGAGTTACACCACAGTGCTGAACTTCTATCCCGATGGGAAATAACCCACACATCAGATACCACTGACTTACAGCATTCACTGACAATTGCAAAGAGAAAAAAAATATTAAATCAACATTACCCCCACCCAAAGTTCAATAACTCCACCAGAATTCAGTACCTTAGAGACAGCCACAGAGAAATATCTCAAGGAACAAGCTGCAGTTAACCTGCCCAAGAGTTGAGAGTACATTTAATTTCCAGTTTGGTATTTCCAAGGTGAATGGATCATTTTTGCAGGGCTCTCCGCCGGATGTAAAAACTTCCCTTCACAGGGCACTTGCTCTTAGTGGCAACTGTGTGTGAGCTGTTCCCACCCATCACACCTTGGTCAGACACAGTGCTGTGAAAAAGCAGCTGTTTTCACACACACACAAAAATCAGCAGCACTTTTTAAGGTGAGAACTCCTCAGTCTCAGCTGCAGATAGGCAAGGAATTAATGGCAATTGAGACCCCTCTCTTACACCCCCAAAAGCAATCTGCCCTTAAGGATCAGCACGTGCAAAGGGGCAACAACTGAACCAGCTGCCACCGAAGTCCTTACATGATCTGAAAATACAAAACCCTTGGGAGTGCAGTGAGGATGAAGGAGACGAGGCTTGGGAAGTACTTTAAGAGCCACCACCAGAAGATGCTTGAAGCATCAGCTGCAAAAGCACATTAACATAGATACTACAATTCGAAAGACTCCTGTCATCACTGAAATATTTACTGCAACTCTGAGTCGCAAATTCCCCTGACTCATTATGCTTCTCCCAGTTCCTGAATTTCCATACTTTAGCTCGGAAATTAATGCAAGCAATTTGAATGCAGACAACACGGGAAAGCGTTGTGGGATTTTTACAGTTGTTGACTCACACTCCTGCCTGTGCTCCCTGCCCAAGGAACAATTTAAGCAAAGAATTCACTGTTTTAAAATGGGTCAGCAAGATAAAGGTTTCTCTTACCCCTCAATCTAAAAAGAAGTTATCTAAAGTCACCAGTTGGAATCAAGACTTACCTCACAGATCATTTTTTGAACGAAGAAGAAAAAAATTCTTTTTAATCCAAAACTCCGTATTTTCCAGCAGACATCAATACCCAGCCCTCACAAGTTCTGCCACTGAGAATAAAATCCAAGAACAACTTTTATGCTTGATCCCCTTTCCTTTGTTTCCATGAGCTGCAGCATGTTAGCGCCCTCTGAAAAATCAAAGAATTGCTTTCCCAGGTGATACAAACGGCTTTTAACCTTTTCCTGCCTGCACCAACGAGGCTCCTCCCAGCTCCTCTCCACTGTAATTCAAGTAACAAGGCACTAAAATAAGAGAAGCCAACGAGTCTTGACTTGGATATCTGCAAGAACTGATAATGAACTTCCAAATAACTCCTTTGATAGTATCTGATCAAACTATTTCAACACTGTCTCCAGCTGTACAAAGAACAGCCTGTTCTCCCCATACCGGCCACCTTTAGAAGGGAAGCTGCACAGAGTTGTCCTATTAAATAAATATGATTCCCTACCTGCCCTCTTCCTGTGGTGAGAGGTGATGGGACACTAACACCAAAAGAGAACAAGCCTGAAAACTGGGCAGCAGCCAAAATACCAGCAGAAAATTATAAATGAACACCTTTAAATAAAAAGGGATGGCCTCAGCCTGAAGTCACAGGGACAGAGACCGAGAGCATATTATCTCAAAGGCAATGGTAAAGTAAAAACTTTTTTTGCCATTATTCAGTTTGTAAGTGGTTTGGTCGGGTTTTTTTTCCCAGCCCTCTGTTTTATATACAGATTTACAGAAACTAATTATCTTCCAGGTTATGGATAGCGAGGACAACAGGCCAGCTCTTACTTTGTATGGGCTATAATTATTCCAGATTTACATCGAATACCTTCAAGATTTGGCTCATGTACATCAGTTAACAGCAGGTGGAAGAGCACAAAACTTGTTCCTGTGTGGACACCTCAGTGCCACAAAGAGAGGCAGTGCTGACAGTCAGCTCCCTCCTCAAAATTCAGTGTAAAGGGGCCCCTCAGCACTCACCCCTCATCACCTCCAGCCCAACACTTGCCTGCTGCAGGCTGTGTCCAGTCCCACAGCACATCACTGCTGGATGTGGGCAGGAGACCAGTTATTTACACCAAAAATCCAGGCTGGATTCAGCTGTGTGAGTCCATAGAGGCCAGAGGCTGGGCAGGGCTCCCCCAAAATAATGGTGCCCTGAAGAAACAGGGTCCAGGCCCAGCACCTGCACCCCAAGCCCTGCTGACTGCAGGTCCTCCTGCCCCTCTTGGCTCAGGAGACACAGAAAAAAACCATTTCCATCAGGGGCAGTGCAGAGGGACGACCTCACTTTAACAAGGACACTGAGATACCGGAGCATGCCCAGCAAAGGGCATCAAGGCTCGTGAAAGGTCTAGAAAACATGTCTTTTGAGGAATGGCTCAGGCAGCTGGGGTTGTTTAGTCTTGAGGAGGCTCGGGGGGACCTCATCACTCTACAGCTACCTGAAAGGAGGCTGCAGCAAGGTGGCAGTGGGGTCTCTTCTACCACACCTGTAGTGAGAGGACAAGAGGAAACAGCCTTAAGCTGAGACAGGGGAGATTCAGATCAGATATTAGAAAATTTTTTTCACTGTTAGGGTGGTCAGGCATCGGAATAGGTTGCCCAGGGAGGTGGTGGAGTCACCGTCCCTGGAGGTGTTCAAGAGGTGTCTGGATCTGGCGCTGGGTGATGTGGTTTAGTGGTTACACTGGGATGATGGTTGGACTGGACGATCATAAGAATCATGGAATGCTGAGTTGGAAGGGACCCATCAGGATCATCGAGTCCAACTCCTAGTCCTGCCCAGCACACCCCAACAATCCCACCATGTACCTGAGAGCATTGTCCAAACATTCCTTGA